AACGTCTGGCCATGTGCACCAACCTACCCGAAGCTCGAGTACAGGTGAGTTCACAACACGAGAGGATAGCAGCCAATGGGGTTAGTCATTTTAGTAATGCTGGACCTACCTTCAGCCTTTGATACTGTTGATCACGAGATTCTTATCTCTCGATTAGAATCTTTTGTAGGCCTGGGAGGTGCTGTTCTAAGTTGGTTTAAATCCTTTTTAACTAATAGAAGATTTAGGGTTAAAATAGGTAATTGTACTTCATCTCTGGGTCTTTCAACATGTGGTGTTCCTCAGGGCTCGATTTTAGCTCCTACTCTTTTTTCTCTATATTTACTTCCTCTGGGTTCTGTGTTTAGAAAGCATGGAGTTTCTTTTCATTGTTATGCTGATGACATGCAAATATATTTACCAGTTACTAGGAAAAAAGAAAGTGCTGTACTTTATCTGCATGTCTTGATGATGTTAAATCCTGGCTTTCTAACAATTTTCTTTTCTTAAACACAGATAAAACGGAGGTCATGATTTTTAACTCCTCAGACCCCAGGCATCAAAATCAATTTGATTTTAAGCACCTAAATTCATTTATTTCCCCTTCAGTACGAAATTTGGGTGTAGAGTTTGGTAATTCTTTGAAATTCGATAAACAGATCAGTTCTGTCGTAGGCTCCAGCTTCTTCTACCTTCGGTCCCTTTCTAAAATTAAACCATTTCTTTCTGTAGTTTCCCTAGAGATTGCCATCCATGCCTTCATCACGTCACGGCTGGATTACTGTAGCTCGCTGTACTATGGCATTTCAAAAACTCAAATTTCTCGTTTACAGGTAGTGCAAAATGCAGCAGCTAGATTTCTGAAGGGGTGTAAAAAATGTGATCATGTTACACCCATTCTGAGATCCCTGCATTGGCTGCCTGTTCAGTACAGAATTGAGTTTAAAATTCTTCTATTTGTCTACAAATCGTTGAACAATTTAGCTCCGCCTTATCTTACAAACCTACTTCATCCCTACATCCCCACAAGACGATTACGATCCGAGGAAAAACTTCTCCTCCAGATCCCTCACACTCGTCTAAAGACGAGAGGAAATAGAGTGTTTGAAGTGGCTGGTCCTACTCTGTGGAACAACTTACCATTTCATATTAGAATGGCCTCCACTCTACCTGTGTTTAAATCTTGTCTAAAAACTCATATTTTTACTTTGGCGTTTATTAATTGATTTCGTTATAGTCATGTTATGTGTATTTGACATTATGCTATTAATATTTTACTTATTGTATTTGTGCTATTGACAAATTTCTCGTTTACAGGTAGTACAAAATGCAGCAGCTAGATTTCTGAAGGGGTGTAAAAAATTTGATCATGTTACACCCATTCTGAGATCCCTGCATTGGCTGCCTGTTCAGTACAGAATTGAGTTTAAAATTCTTCTATTTGTCTACAAATCATTGAACAATTTAGCTCCGCCTTATCTTACAAACCTACTTCATCCCTACATCCCCACAAGACGATTACGATCCGAGGAAAAACTTCTCCTCCAGATCCCTCGCACTCATCTAAAGACGAGAGGAAATAGAGCGTTTGAAGTGGCTGGTCCTACTCTCTGGAACAACTTACCATCTCATATTAGAATGGCCTCCACTCTACCTGTGTTTAAATCTTGTCTAAAAACTCATCTTTTTACTTTGGCGTTTATTAATTGATTTCGTTATAGTCATGTTATGTGTATTTGACATTATGCTATTAATATTTTACTTACTGTATTTGTGCTATTGGCAGTGTACAGCACTTTGGTCGGCTTTTAGCTGTTTTTAAATGTGCTTTAGAAATAAACTTGAACTTGAACTTAGTCTACTACAATAATGAGTGCAAGAGCCAATAAGTGAAAAACAAAACAAAAAAAATCCCAAAATAAGCTAAACTTGCCAGTGCACAACTCAACTATGCAGGTTGTTTGCAGAATTACATTGTTACATAATTGTTACATATTGTAAACTTAACACCTTAAGGCACACGGGCAAGACCATGGTTTTTATTTTTCCATGCACTGGTCAATTTCGCAAAACCAGTCTTCTTTCAGACTAGTAGAAAGAAAACAGCCAAACTACACGTTTAAGTGTTGATTTTATTACAATTGATCCATTTGCTTCAGTAGATTTCAATTACTATACATATATTTTTTTCTCCTGAGTCAGAAATCTTCAGTTCAGCTGCACTTACACAAAATTTATTAAATCTTATTTGTATTCTGAAGGTATCTACAGAGGGATTTGTTCATATATCATTCGCCTGTGTTTTTTTCCTAAAAATATGGTGAAAAAATTCTTGCAGTTTTTTACTGATTGATAGTGTTTTCTGATTTATGGAGTGATAAAAAGAAAAATCTAAAATCCATTCTTTGAAAACCCTTCAACAAAATGAAACAAGAAAACTTAACTTAGCTTTATCCAACATTCAGATTTACTAAATTACTTAGGTAGACAATACCTCATTTACATATTCAAACATAGCATTTCAGAAAACTGTAATACAAAACAATTGTCTTAATATACTGTGATTAATTAACCGGGGATGTATGGTGATATCAATTAGATCAGATTTTTACCCTATTCACCTTAATTCTGTGATTGACAATCTTTAAAGTTTCACAAATACCAATGTCTTCACACTAACAGGTGTGGTTTAAAAACCGCCGTGCAAAGTTCCGCAAGAAGCAGCGCAGCCTGCAGAAAGAGCAGCTTCAGCTGCTGAAGGAAGCTGGGACGGAAGAAGAAGCTCCGCCTGTTGAGGCACAAGCCCGGCCCTCCCCTTCAGATGGGCATGGCCCCACATGCCCCCCTCCCTGTGAGTTGAGTGAAGAGGTGAATGTCACCTCACCGGAACAGTCAGGGGCGGAGTCAGGGGCTGAGGACATGACTGACAGAGAGGATGAGTCACTGTCCATCAAAGATGAAACAAAAGAGGCGGGGCCAACCCTGATGACAGATTACAGTTCACCTTCTTGCAAACCAATCAGCCCTAAATCAGGTAAGAATAGCTACATATGATCTTTTCTTCACAATGCTCAAATGGAAACACTTTTCAAATAGATTAAGGAATTAATGGAATTAAAGAGATACTTCAACCAAAAATTAAATTACTGTCATAATTTCCACACACTTTCTTTCTTCCGGGGTGCACATACTAAAGGGTCTAGCTCCAAAAAATGTCAGAAAGGCACCATAACAGTAAATAATAACAGAATTATATTTTCAGATTTTTAATTTTTAATTTTTATGTTAAAAATGTGGGTACAGTCTTTATGGGTCAAATTGGAGACAAAACAATTCACCAAAAATCGTAATATGAAAAATGCTAAATAAATAAATAATGTAAAACAGTAAACCTTGAACATTAACAGTTCTCAAAAAAAAAAAAACCTAAGAAAATGTAACTTTTAAAAATAATAATACCTTTTTCAAAAATTCTACATTTTATAAACGGTATTGTAACTATTTTTTTAAAACATTTGAAACAAGAAGAAATCTGGAAAAGCACTTATTCTGTGTGCTTTTCTGAAACTCAAAACAGTAACATCAGAGTGTTGAAACTCTGTATGCATGTTCATGACTCTAAATCAGAAAAAGTCACAAAATATCAAGAAAAAAAGGTTAACCAGTACTTACAAAAACTCAAAAATCGAATTGGGTCAAAAGTCAAATTGGGTCAAAAGTGCAGGGTCTGTGGTTCCATGAAGAACCTTTAAGATCCATGGAATCTTTCCACTGCACAAAAGGCTCTTTATAGTGGAAAAAGGTTCTTTAGATTATTCAAATTTTCTTCACACTAATAAAAAATGGTTCTTTTAACAACTGTTCACTGAAAGGTTTTTTGGGATTAATAGTATTACATTGTCTCCTCTCCCTCCTCAGATGAGCCGCTGGGTTCTCCAGCTCTTCCCTCCTCCAGTGGCGTCATAAACGAAGAAATCTGGAAAAGCACTTATTCTGTGTGCTTTTCTGAAACTCAAAACAGTAAGAGCATGGCGCTAGCAACATCAAGATCATGGGTTCGATTCCTAAACTGCATGCAAGAAATATACACAAGTTTCTTTGAATAAAAGCATCTAACTAAATGCATAAATGTAAATGATAACACCTATAGAGGTAGTTGAGAAACTGACATGACATAACTCACATTAAAAATTTATTTTTATATACTGCGTCTGAGGGCCAAGCAGCATGCTGCATCACTCGGCTTGGACACGCTTCCAAACTGACCACTGATTCATGCAAATCAATGCATTTCTGCCGTCAACGTCTTGTGTTCAGGCTCTACATCACATTAGTGTGCTGAAATAAACAGCTGGAGCTGTTTCATTATTATATAGCATGGCAGAGTGGAGAAGTTTTGACGACTTTTAAGTGTTTCGGTCCGGCTGCATGGCAGAGGTTTTAAACTTTTCCAAACGCCCCTGGCTTTGCACTTTGAAACGTAAAAAAAGAGCACATTAATTAATTTGTTTCTGTAAATAAGCGTATTCAGGTCCACAGCCTTGGTAGAAGGTTAGTGAAGCCTCCCGTTTGTATATTTGAAGAAGTTTAAATGTCTTCACTGTCTTTGGATGTTGTAAACGGACATAAAATGAATGGATGAAGCCCCTGCAAACTTCAGAAAGACTTCAGACTGACGCTCCTGACCGTCATGCCATGTGTTTTGCCGATTTAGAGTCTATCGGATATCTCTGAATTGTTTAAATAAATGTGAATAATTTATCAGTGAAATGAAAGGGAATAAACCACATATATGATCTGAATGTGCAACAGTAATTAGTGGATTCTTTTACTTAATCTATATTTCCATATATTTTTTTCAATTATTTTAAAGGTGTTTTTTCCCCTTTTCTGTTCAGCTTAAATATCTGACAATAGTTAAAGCACACACATTCTCTGCCACTGAGTTACATTCATTTCAATGTGCTATTTAAAAGTTCAAATATGCTTTTCTTACATTTCCACAAGTAAAAGAGAAAATAAAGTAATATATTAATAAGGAAATAAAAAATAAATACAATTAAATTTATTTTAAAATAAATTTGAGTGAAATATTACAAATAATATAAATATTATTGTTTTAATATAAATGTTAAAATGAAATGCAAAAATCCTAATTAGAGATTTATTAAGAAAATAATGTAAGTAAATACTAATACTGTACAAATGTATAGTCCACAGAAAAACAAGAGTTACAACAGATCACTGAACTAAAATTTTATTTAGGTTTAGCAATATTCCGGAAGAAATAAAAACAAGACATTTGGATTAGATTTTTAATCATGCTCATTTCTCATTTGTATAATTTCTAAAACTAGCTTTTTAATCCAAATGCATTGCATTACCTGTGGACCATTACTGGTTAACACACAAACAAAATGTTTTCTCCATATGTTCCCTTCCTCTGTCTGGCTTTTTCCCTCTTTCACATCCATGTTGATCTTGATATCGGATCCAGTGAAAAGCTTAGGACACAGTGGCAGAAAATGAGTCCATCAGCCACATCAGCCTCAGCGAGACCTTCGCCACCCACCTGTCAGAGGTTTGGCAGCTCTGCGGCAGAATAACACGGGTCAGGATACCAGTGGATTAAGTTGAGGAAGAACAGAGGAGTGGAGTGAGAAGACATGTCGTGTTCAGACACCTGTTAACAGACCATACTTCATATGCTGGCACTGCAGTGCATTTAAAAAGATGGATTTCATTCACATTCCAGAAAGAGAAGGGAGGAGAAAAAACAAGATCTTTATCAAAAGCATAATAATGGTTAACATCTCTAATGCCTTGGTTCTCAAGTTGTTTGTCATACAGCAGGGTGAAAAAAAAACCCAATGCTAAATCCAAACAATAAAATGTGATTATGTAACCGTAAATAGGTAATGATAAAATAAGTATACGTATCAACATTTAAAAGGAAGAAAATGCTTTCAAACCTTTTCTTCTGCAAAAATTCCAGACTACGGGAAATACAGCTTCAAGTTTTTATCACAAGGATAAACAAAGTTTGTGTTGAATTAGTACCCGTCAAGAGCGTGAAACCATTTGTTAAAAATGTAAAACTAAAACATAATTTTTTCAACCAGTCTATGCTATTTTAGTAATTGTACACATTTAAATAAAAAATAAAATAAAATAATTAAATATCAAGACTCAAGTGTCTTATTCAGTTTATGCCATTTTAGTAATTGCACACATTTAAATAAATAAATAAATAATAAAAAATGTCAATGTTCTTATTCAGCCTATGCCGTGTTAGTAATTGTACACATTTAAATCAAAATGAAAAAAAATAAATACATTAAAACCATCAATTTTCTTATTCAGTCTGTGCCATTTTAGTGATTGCACATAAATTAATTAAATAAACCATGCAATTTTTTGTTATTGTGTAAATCTCCAACATAAATCCTGTGTCCAAAGCAAAGCAAAACCTGTTGAGAACCACCGCTTTACTGATCATTAACCTAATTACACCATAATAAAATTAACTTGATGCTAAGTACGAGATGTTGAATTTCTTCTTTGACAGTTACATCCAACATTGTGTATGTGTGTGTGTGTGTGTGTGTGTCACTGTAAAAATGTGTGTGCGTGCCGTTTTTGGGTTGGGTGCTTTTTTTTTTCCGTCTGTACGTAAGTGTGTGTGTGTTAAGCTGTTGAGGTCGTCTTGAGCTCTTTGATGTGTATCAGGGTTGTGCTCTGTTATAGGGATTTTCTGAGTTGACAGCTGCTTGAATATGTGGCGGTACTGCGATGGCAGTGGGTTAAAGAAAGCTGGAACAGGATTAGGATCATATTCTGGCAGTGGCTGTCAGTTCATCAATGGGCTCAGGTTCTCCAGTGACAGCTCTCCTTTGCAGCACGGCTAAGACCTTTAGAGGAGCCATAAAGGAGTGTGAAAAAGGGCTGTTTCAATGGCATGGTATGAGTTTTGTTCTAACCTTGCCGGGTGTGCATAAAGTAGAGAAGTCAGGAAATATCAGAGGGGTGCTTCTGATTTAAACACTCAGACTTTGCATGAACAAGCATTTACATATAAGTATTTATGAAGTTTATAAGTTTAAACTCCATCTCGTTGGGTGCAGAGCCAAGAAAAAAAAGTTTAAAGGGCTCACATCTGCACTTTAATTACATTTTTAAATATATTTATATATTTTTTACACAATTCCTTCCACGTTCTGACTTTTAGAATGATATATTTAATTTTGTAATTTTTTTATTTAATTGTTTTTTTTTTTGCTGCTAGAAAACTAAGAAAAAGAATCACAAGGTCTTTCCGTTTTTTTTTTTTTTTAGTTCTACCGTTGGTTCTTCTGGTGTTTGGGAATAATAGTATCAAGCAATATCCTCTTTACCTCACTGTGAAAGGATGAACCAAGATTCTGAACACTGAACAGGCGCTATTTGCATATCAATGTTGGCGGTCTTGTATTAAATGTATTTATCTAATGTAACAAAACTCCAAGGCAGTTTTACTATATATGCTTATTTTGGAGAGGGGAGGAAGCAGAGCCCAAATGTACCAGCATTTCAATCATGTTTGTGACTAAAGATAGATGTGTGCAAACTGTAAAATGCATTTAGGAGTATGTGCGTGAATAAAAAGTAGGTCCTGTTTGTCCTTAAAACGACTTACATTACTTTATGGTGTTTATATTGCAATGTTTTAAAGACTGCATATTAACTCCCCCATTTGTTTGAATAATCAGCTAGAAGTAGTAAAGACATTTCAAAATAAGAGTCCCAGTGTATTTCAGGCTTATTATAATTAAAAACCCCCGCATTATGCAGAGCATTTTTTTTCTCTGTATATTATTGGTATTTTGGTTACAACAAACTGTATTAAATGTTTACATTTAAACAATTCCAGAATTATTAAATTAATACAGTTTGAAACAGTAAAAAAAAAAATAGTCAATGGCTCCACGTATCCCTTTATTAACATTTTTAAATATATTTTCATTGCACCCCTAAAATTCTTTATGTGCTCATCATTTTTTTCAAGGTAGGAGCACATGGGACGAAAGTGACCGTCAAGCCTTGGGAAGTTGTAATGTAGCACAAAAAATAAGCACAAGAAAAACTAGTTTCCTCATGATATGACAGATTTCATGCATGTGTTTTAAAGGTACAATCAATAAAAGCTGTTACTGATGCCATTGTAAAAAAATACCCTATTCACGGATAATCATTTATTCCATGCAAAATTGTCCGATAACAGGGGTTACAAAGGCACAATGAGTAGTGTTCAGCTGGTCATGTGATCTCAACATGCTTGCCCCCAAGAGGCGACCCGCTCAATGTAATTATTAGGCTCCTCATATGATGGAGTTCATCTTTAAATTCAGACAAAAAAAAGAGTAACTGAACGCTACCACTTTTGCAAAACATTCTGTAGGAGTGACTTGAAACATCAAACTCCTCCACCGCTCTCAGCGCTAAGACAACAGAAGAAGCCGCTCAGCAGAAATTCATTCCTCACTTCAGAGGTTTAAAGCAGATCCCCCATAATTCCACTCGACAGGATTCTCACTTGAAAACTCCGCAAAGCGGCGCACAGTCTTACCCTTCCATTTGACCCGCCCGACGATTCGCTCTGCCAGCCCTGCAAAACAATACTTTCACAATGCTGCTGGACTTTTATTGTTGCCACGGCATTATATAATTCCAGGAATTACTGACAGGCAAGGATATGCTAAATCCTCCTCTACTCTTCCTGAAAGATGAGACAGACTCGGCGAGCAGCGGCTCTCTTTCCACCTTCTGACTTGGTCGGTAATCCCGATACGCACTGTCTGCATTTTTACTGTATGTGTTTAAGCGCATTTGCAGAGCATTTATCTCCCCAATGTAAACCAATTTGGCTATAAGGGCCTCGGGGCGAGCTCACAGCCGAAGTAAAGAAAGGAAAACTCAAACGTAGCAGAAGCGCGGTGAGGAGTGCTGTGACGTAGAGCAAAAAACGAGAAAAGAAGAAAAGAAGCAGAACGGTGCAGGAGAAAAGAGAATCCTGTCCAGAGGCGATGCTTCCCGTTTGTGCAATAAGAACCCAAAAGCCGCCAAAACCTGAATCACTGGACTGTTGAATCGCAGAAATCTTCACAATCATCGTTATCCCCTAATCCGGCTGTACGTGCCGGGCCAGACATACTTTTCAACTTCCAGACAGGTGTCTATACTGCATGAAACATTTGCACATAGTTTCATCCACTGCTTGAAATCTCAAAAATACATTTCCTCTGGAGAAACACTCACCACCATGATTCTAGGGCCCTTGAAGTCCACTTTCACACAGAGTTTAGAGTCAACCCTGATCAAAATCACCTGCCTGTAACCAGGAACGGGCTTAAAAGGAACAATCCACTATTTTTTAAAATAGGCTCATTTTCCAACTCCCCTAGAGTTAAACAGTTGAGTTTTACCGTTTTCAAATCCATTCAGCCGATCTCCGGGTCTCGCAGTAGCACTTTTAGCTGTAGCTTAGCATAGATCATTGAA